TAAAGTTCTCAAAAAACTCATCTGTATAAGCTCCAATGTCTTGGTACCAATTTTCTAGAAGTTCATGTGTGTAAATATTTATAGGCATCCAGCAATATATATGAATACCTGATATATTACTATGTGAGCCTGTATCTGTTACTTTGAGCATATTTAAGAAAGATATTGCACAAATCTTTTTTAAATATCCTTTTCAAAATCAATTCTAGCTTTTTACTTTTAACATTGTAAATTATTCAAAAGGAAGGAAACATGACCACGCTTTGAAAGTATTTTGCTTTAAAATAGGAAACTGAAAAAAGTGAACAGAAAATCCTAATTTTTCACAAAATTCATTGAGAAAATAATCAACTTCAAGTGTTTATTTTAAATGTCAATTATAAAAGAGTGTGAGTTTCTTTCCTTTACAAAGTTATTTTTTTTCTTGTTGAGTTTTAATTTATGAGAGCTGAAGGAATCTTTCTTCCGGAACTTCAGAGTGTCTGTGAACTTTACAATTATGTCCCAGAGTGGACTCAGGAATCCAGGGAAGCACGTGATCACACACTATGATTTGTTGGCTTCCACAGTAAAGTGGGAGGGTGCGGATGAATGATCCCCACCCAAATTATGAATGGCCAAAAGACCTGCAGGCATGTCATTAATATGAATGAGCAGTATCAGTGGAATGGGTTCATAGAATTAACATGAGGTGCTTCTTTAAATTCTCTTTTGAAAATAATATTGTTAATGTCCCTGTTCTGTGATATTGAGCATATGCTCATGAACAAGCTGGCTTTGTGTTAATGATGTGTGAACGTCCCAGCCATGACAGGAAGTCTGCTTCTTGGATGACTTGAGGAAGAAGTATTAATAGGAATAGGAAGTGAAAACTGTGGATGTACACAGGGCTGAGAGAACGCTTGGCCATTTATTGAGCTATTCTGCAACTCAACATGAGCTCCAATTTAACTTTGTTGACCTATTCTTATCATTTAGGAAAATAAAGAGTAAATAAATTGGCATCATAATGTGTCCACGTAACTCAAGATGGGAGCATACTATAATTTATCTTTTTAGATAATGGTTCAAATTCACACTGAAATTTTTTTTCCCATAAGTGTAGATTCCATGTGTTGCATTTTAACCTGAGTTCTCACATCCCACAGGCAGTCAGGCAAAAAGGCAGAAGCAGAAGCAGCGACAAGTTTTGTAAATGATCATCCTTGATGGTAGTTGAAGAATAGAATATATTTCAAGGCAAAGGGCATGTGAAGGAGGGGTTCATCTTTTTAGTTTCAATAGTTTGCTGTTAAGGGGAAGCATCGTTAGCCAATCGTGAAATATATGATGTGGATGGGTGTTAACATTGATGAAACAAGTTCAGTATCGAATCTCAGCTCTACTTTTCATTTTCTGAGTAAATTTGGGATTTTATTTGTCTCTCTACCTGAATTTTATCTTTAGCATAATAGTACTGACCCCTTACCACACCCAAGAGCACAGCACCTTGAATGGAACATGCACAAACTGTGCTTCTTGTTGGCTACTGCCTGTGCCTGGGAACCTCCCCTCCTCCCTACGCCAAGGGTCATTGCTAGAAGAATCTCTTCCTCTTTGATCCTGTCTAGAAAGCTCCTCCTCTCCCCGCTCCCCCAACATAGGTCACTCCCTCCTCTCTTGCCTTGCTATAGTTTTATATGTACCCCTTTTCACTGCCTGACGTTATATTATAAACTCATTTATTTACATGTTTGTTGTCTGTCTTTCCTACTAGCATGTCAGTTCCTTGAACACAGGGGTTTGTTTTCTCTTGTTTTTTGCTGTATTCCCTAAACTAGAATAGTTAGTGCTCAATGTGTTCAAAAATCCTGTGTCAAATGAATAAATCGTTATCTACAAAGAACCCCCATGTTAAAGCTATTTAAAATAAAATCCTTATTCCACAGACAATTCATGCAGCTGATATTTGTCATAATGTGAAGAAGTGTCTGATTTATGTCAGTATTTTTAGACAGAAAGTCATAATCGTCTCCTGGTAAAGATCTTCACCCAAACTCATGAGAGTTCAAATGTTCCTCTCCCAGTTCTTTAGATCTCTAGCTCTCAGGCCTCTTTGTTAACCCTCCAGTATCACCGATCCTTTCATTCTCTTCATTGTTTTATTTCTGATATTGTCTCATTTTCTTGCCTAAATTAATCTTGAATTTTACAATAATTCACGCACAATGGGAAAAATTTACCTATAATCTTAGGGATCAAACCAATTTTGG